ACGGAGAGGTTTGGGGTTTTTTTATAGGGATTTTTTTTTCTTTTGTTTTCTTGTTTGGGTTTTATTTAAACACTAGTGGTGTTATGGCCAACGTGACTGAAAATGAAGTTTTGTCAGGAAGGACTTTTATCAGGCCTAGAGATATTGATGGAAAGAAACACACTGTTTCTTGGAGTGTCTGTGGTTTTGCAAGCTAGAAGTACTTTATATGTGTGAATAAGCACTTACAATTTTTTTTTCGGGGTGGAAACTTTAAGATAAATCTCCGCCTGCAAATAATTAATAATTGCTTTCTTTCCAGGGCTTGAGTCTTTTGTTTGACCTGTTTTTCTTTTTCCTGTGGCTTCAAATGCCCAAGGGGAAGCTTCCTTATTCCTTAGCCCTCAGCCCTCAAGGGAATTAAGAATCTGATATTTGGTTATTTTCTCCAGGGTGATTCCAGTGGTGGCCAACATTTCTGCAGAGAGAGAGAGAGAGGGGGGAAGAGAAGGGGCTAAACTGGGACTATCCCAAAAGCTGAAACAGAAGTTGCAGTGAGGATTGTAGCACCGATAGCCACGCGATTTTCTGCTGCATATTTAAAAATAATCACCTTCCTTGCTTGTTTTCAGTATTTTTCAGTATTCTGTTCAACTTCTGGGTGTCAGGCTATGGAATGACTGGTCTCAGGCTTAGCTGAACTAATGGTAAAAATTCCATATTCTGTTCAACTTCTGGGTGTCAGGCTATGGAATGACTGGCCTCAGGCTTAGCTGAACTAATGGTGAAAATTCCAGTCTAGTGGAAGGTGTCCCTGCCCATAGATGGGGTTGGAACTGTGTTACTGTCATATTTTCAAAAAAATTTCTTTGCCCAGGATTCTTCTCCTGAAAAGTTGAGAAGCCTCAGAGAAAAATGAAAACAATAATTATCTGATTTGCTTCTCCTGTGTTTTGCTGCTTTAAAATGTAGTTGGAAATTGTTTATCCAACACGTGAATTGTTTTGACTGAATGACCAATCACCATCAGGCTGTGTCTGGAAGGAGTCACAAGTTTTCATTATCATTTTTTGTAGCCTTCTCTCTGTATCCTTTCTCTATTCTTTAGTACAGTTTAGTATAGTTTAGTATAGCATTTTTTAATATTATATAAGATCATAAAATAATAAATTAACCTTCTAAATTAACCTTCAGATTCCTTCCTTTCCTCACCTTCTTCGGGAACCCCGAAAATACCACAGAATTGGAAGATCTTTAAGGCCCCTTCCAACCCAAACTATTGTAAGATTTTATGATTCTGTGTCAAAGGTGTCCACATTATTTTCTTGCTGATATTCTCTATGGGCCATTTCTCCCATGTCACATGAAACTAAAGGGACCTGACAGAGGAAAGCATTAACCAGTTAATCTGGCCTTGCTGAAAACTTAGAGAAACATGATCAAACTAACTCCTGGTTGTCTCTTACCAGTGTCACTGCCAAATATTAAAAAAAATTAAATTAATTGGCTTTTACAGCCATTCTTTGGCAATAATAATGTCCAAAGACCTCCTAAAATTTTCTTTATTGTAACATATTATCAGCCATATGCTCCTGCCATGTGGAATATGTAGGTGTGGGCTGGCAAGGTACTGCAAGTGAGAGAAGTGGAGATCGCTCCTTAAATGTGTGAGTTGTTTTTGTGCTCCTTAGTTTCCAAAGTGATCCCTCTCATTCCCAGTGAAACTTGGGAAGACACAAGAACTGTGTGCTCCTCACATTCTGCACAGTGAGGGAACTTTCAAGGCAGACACCTCCCGTGTCATCACCCAGCCAAGGAAGGACAAGTCGAGGTCAGCTGGTCACTCAAACCTTCACTCGCAGGAAATTGGAATGGTGGTTGTGGATAAGCACTGGGAATGCATGAAGTACAGCTCTGGGAAAACGTAATAAACAGGGACATTTAAACATCCCAAGTGCTCCTGCAAATCTGAGTCATAAAAAAGGGGAGTTGTAAACAACATTTAGAGGTCACCCAGGCTCTTCTGTAGTCACACAGCTCACACTTCTCAGTGGAGGTGCTCACACAGCACAGAGCAGCACACAGCAACAATTAAATTTAAAAACAGGTGGATGATACAACAAAGAAATAAATGTTATTTTCCCAAAAATAGCACAGTATGTGGACTCAAGTATAAAAAGTTTATGCCATGTGAAGCATTAAAAAAAAATGAAAGCATCAGAGTCTTATTCATATCATGGCTTTACAAATCAGTTTTAATGGGCTTGACTTGCAGGTGATAATCTATTAACACCAATTTTTTTCAGTAACTTTTCAAAGCAGCCATTAAAAATTGAGTTCTACAATTTTTTGGGTAAAGTTGGTAGAAATTAAATAGTATATATCTAGCTTATATGTTTATACTGGGCTTATTACTAAAGCATTTTAGTTCCATATGCAATGCACTGGATTTATCTGTGTTCTTGTGCAGTTATTACAAGGGTTTTATTTTTAAAATACACTCTGAGAATTAATACATTGGTCCATTTACATGATTGGACTCCTAATATTTTTTCAGTTTATGACCAAGAAATTATGATGCTGATAGAATAAATACCCAATACTGTGTAAAGCAGTAGCTAGGAAGTTTCTCCTGCTGTTGGCACAAAACAAACCCAAAACAAAGTGAGTTGACTCAGGTTTTTGATGTGTCAACAATGTCAGCTGAAAAAAAATTGCACAGCTTCAGCTTTCTCCCCCTAAAGCAGGGATGACTCTTTTCCAGCACTGTGCAGGGATAGTGTTGGGAAACTCCCTGAATTTATAAAAATGCTTTGAGCTGCTTGCATTAGAAGGGCTTTGTATGGCTGATCACTGGGAGAATGAGATTTCTGCATTAGTGTCTTCTGTGCTCTAAAGCAATTGGAAGTTTGCCTCCCTTCTGTGCTGTAAAGGAATTCCTGGTTTGGGAATAAACCAGGACTCCACTTTGGGGATGAAACTGCAAGGTTGCTTTAGCCATGCAGCTGTGACTGAAATGGTTTCCTTGTGTTTTAGTTTTCTTCTACTTTGTTGGAGGGTACTGTGAAAAAAAGGCAGCAGAAGTCCTCTCTTTATTCCAGCAGTAAAGGTGCATTGGGCTGGGAGCACAAGAAGGACCCTGTGTTACCACTCTGGATTCCTTAAATGCAATTTTAAGACTGCTTGCATATTTGCTTTTGCAATTTACATAACCTATTTACATAAAAGTTTACATTACAAAAGCTATTTACATTACATCTTCAGTGACTTATCAGAACCTGATCCTCTGGGTCCTTGCAGCTCAGTTCTTGCTGCTGCCCTTGCACCACTTGTGCCCTGGCTTGGTCTCCCTCATCTCTGGCCAAGAAGCCAACTGCAGCAATTTTTGGCAGGAAAAAAGATTGCCATCAGTAAGTGTAATAATTTGGAAAATGCCATGAACCTCCTTCTCCTCTTCCCCCCCATCTTCATTTGTTTGCTCCAGATTCTCATTCTTAAAATTCTTGCTTTTAAGGAAACAGGAACTGCTTGACCTGTGTTGTTATGCCATATCCTGAGTGTATCATGTGTAGTGATACATTTCTGATAGTCCTTTCTTCACAAAGGTTGAGATAGAAAAGGAACTTAGGAAAAAAAAAGAGAAAAAGAAATTAAAGGCTAGGTGTGGGAATATTTTTGTTCTGGTTGGGGTTTTTTTTTTTTTTTTGTTTTTGTTTTTTGCCATTTCAACTTTCTTTTGTGACTCTTGTCAAAATGCCTTTCTGTACTCAATAAGTATGGAAACACATTTTTTAATTCCATGTTATAGTGGAAAAAAATGCTGTACTTAGTATAGGCTAAATCAGCATTCCCACAGTGCCTGTTTTCCTAGAAGGGACCAAAGGCAGAGCTGTGTGACTGATGTGGGGAGGGGAAAGAGAGGAATTTGGGGAGAGGGAGAGGTTTTAGATGTCTTATGTACAGTGTAAGTGGAATGTGCCTGTCATGAGATATAAACCCAAAATCTGGCCAGAGTTTAGAAAAGAAAGGCTAAGAGAAAAGGTTTAAGGAAAAGGAAGAGGCTAAAGGGAAAGGAGAAGGGAAAGGAGAGAAGGATATCGTTAAAGGAAGAAGACACCCAAGTTCCACCTACACTTCCAAAAAAATCCATCTACATTGGCTAAAAGATGTGACCTTGTCTTTTTTGATGTGGCCATCAGTGCTACGATTAATGAATTTTATAATTCCAGTCTGGATTGTTGCTACATACAGCACTATGTGGGAATGCAATTAGCACAGCTAGAGCAAATTATTCCAGGATGTGCTGTTTCGACATCCCTTTGCCTTGTGACACCCTCTGCAAGAGGAAAGTTTGCTCCCAAAATGCACTGGCTCCTTGTTTGTTTTCAAAACCAGTCTTGAATTTTTGAGTTTTTGAAATGTTGAGTTTTTGTGGCACAAAACATGGAGTTTAGTTTATAAATTAGATATGGTTTGAAGTCCTTGCTCCTGACAGACTCTTTTTTTCCTGGCAGTCCGCTGGGCAGGGGCACTGCTGGCAAGGGAATTTGTCTCTAGTCTCTCTCTGCCTGCTGATCCATCAGAGCCATGTCTGGACACGTGCCAGCCTGTGTCCTCACACAGAGCTGGCACCAAAATGTTGAGATTGTTTAACTGAACTGCCACCCCTGGGTGGATCTAAAAGATGTGTAGATGTGGCTCTGAGGGACATGGTTTAATGGTGGACTTGGCAGTGCTGAGTTAATTGTTGGATTCAATGATCTTTTCCAGCCTCAGCTATTCTGGGATTCTACAGTTCCTGAGAAATGCTGGGCTGCTTAAGTGGCTATCAGATTTTAGAGGTCATGGAGTCTTTGAGATGTGGCAAGCAGTCCAGACTTTTAGGGTCAACAAAACCATACAGATGTTACCTTTTAAGCCCTCTAATTGCAGAGGAACCTTTCTAACTGTAGCAACAACTGAAACACAAATAAAGAACTCTTACGGACCAAGTAATTGCTTTCATCAGGGTTTTTGTTTTTATTTCAGGTTTTTATTTGCAATCAAATTGTGTCTTGAAAAATAGACAAACTCTGAGACAAACATTTGGAGGATGGGACACAAAAAGACAGTCACAGTATGTACAATTCTTACAATCAAATCTCTGTGTGCAGTTGGACCCCAGCTGTTCCACTGAGCTGCTCTGTACTCAGGGTAGCCAAATATCAGCTGAGCTTCACTGCAGCACCAGCACAGGCCGTCTGTGGGATTTTGTTTCTCTTCCCCACCATGAGGAAAGGGCCTTTAGTTAACAAATTCAAAGGTAACGTCTCCTCTACATCCATTTTCAGCTCTGATTGATTCTGTCCCTTCCTTGCAAAAACAATCTTGTCTCTCCACTGGAAAATAAAAAAGGTGCAACTGTTCCGAATCCAAGTGACTGAGTGCATCCTCGTGAGTCATTCCCCCTGCCCGAGGGCTCAGCGTGTTCGGCACTGCTGGTCTCCAGCTCTGTTCTCTGGATGCTTCTTGGTTGTGAAACAGGGTAGTTGCAGTTCTGGCTTGAAAAAGCCTTCTGCACTTCCTCAACATTGTTTGTATGCAGGATCCTTTGGACCCAAGTTTTGCACAGGAGACCTCTGCTATCTGAATTGTACATTTCTAGAAATAAACCCATTTCGTTTGCATAGGTATCAGTTACAGTTATTCTGATGAGTTTTTAAATATTTTTTCCTCTCCAAAGGAGCTGTTTTTAAAGAAGTAACATTGTCACAGTAACGAGTTCTTATTGCACAGTTCCAGCTTAAGAATCCAGCTTTGCCACATTTCATGACAGAAAAATATAATACTGAATTCAGCCTTCTGAATTTTTTTGCCGATTTAGCTGTGGATTTTATAGTAATACATCACTTCCTTCCTCTGTGTGGATATTTTATGAACTTCTACCCTCTTTCTCAGTCAGTTTCACCCTTCTGCTGAAGAAATACTACATTTCTTGTGGAAAATAAGAGTTCTTACTCATAGCCCATGACGCTTAGGAGTGAAAACAGAAGCTGAAGTTCCACAGATTCAAGTTTCACTTGGTTTCCATCCTTCCATTTCATAAAATGGGAGTGTCTTCCTCCTTCCAGTTTTTGTCTGACACAGAGAGTAGTTACCCCCACTCCTCCTTTCAGTTGTCTTGAAGGACAGCAGATGAAAGGCACAAGATCTCACTGGGATCAGCTACAATCTGATCCTGGAGTTCTGTGAGCCTTTTCTCCTGTCGTTAAAGCAAACCCACACAATCCAAAATAAATTGTATATCCTGGCAGCACTAAAACTGGACTCCAAGAAACAAATGCAGAAGCAGACTTGCCACCTCAGAGTTTTGCTGCCCTTGGTTTTGTGGAACACCAGAATGTGGGACGTAAACACCTAATGCTTGGTCTGTTCTCAGCTCTTGGTGCTCTGGAGCAGGTGTCACACTGACCCACAGACCTGTCCTGCCCAGAAAGGTCCTCTGGTGAGGAGAATTTCCCAAAGACAAGGTTGGCTTCCCCTGTTACAAGTGCCAAAGCCCCAGGGGGACCAGGAGGAGCAAAGAGAGGGGAAGCACAGCCAGATGTGGCACATCCACGGGGCTTCCGGAGGGAATCTGATTCTGCTCTGAAAAATTGAAAAAGAGGAAGTCAGCATGTAAATGATGGCTTGACAAAAAAGTGTATTGGAAGATTGCATGAATGCATTGATGGAGGATTGTTTTTAAAACAATGGATTTTGGCTCATTGTCATAATTCTCCTTTTTTGTGTCTGTACAGAGTCCAGACAAAAAGGTCTCAAGGTAGTGGGACAAATAAATTTTTCTTTTTCACAGAAAAGGTGCAGAACCTCAGCAACAATGATTGCAACTTTTCTGGATGACTAAGAATCTTTGTTTAAAATTCTGACAGAAAAGCAACAACCATCCAGCTGTTTATTGGGAGCTGTCCCTGCCCGTGGCAAGGAGGGTGGGAACTGGGTGATCTTTGAGATGCCTTCCAGCCCAAGCCATTCTATGATTTTAGGATGAAAATACATTTTCATTCTTCCTACTCAAGGCCTGAGAGAGGTTTTGATTAAGAGTCCATAAATAATGGTAATAAATATTAAAAAATCTAGGTCACACACACTTTAGGTGGTGGCAGCACTGTGGGCCACTCTTGGTACAAAACCCACAACGTGGACAAAGGGCACAAATTACCCTTGGCACAGGTGGTACCTTCAACTTGTGCTGGATGTAGTACACAAGTAAAAAGAGATTTTCAACCCCTGACTTGAAGAGAATTGTTTCTTATAAGTGTTCCAAGTCCTTCTCTGTGAAGAACAGGCTGCATATTGTTTTTTCTACACCTGAGGGCTGTTCCTATTGCTGTGGGGTCAGCTGTCAGTATCTCACTGGAACTAATTTATCTCTAGCCAGGGTGCTTCCCCCCTGTTCCTGGAAGGAGTTTGTGATATTAATGTGTAGAGAGCAAGTAAACATCAGGTAGTCCTCAGTAATGCTTTGAAATAAATGTAGGGTTGTAACAACAAGCCTCCTGGCCTTCTGTGTCTTCTTCCTGGCCCAGGCCCTTTCATTTTTCCCAGGGAAAGCGTTAAACTAGTAGTTGGGAAAAATAATCCATAGTAGTTGGGAAAAATAAACAAACAGATTTGTAGCCATAGTGAAACAGATGAAAATTGTTTCTGTTTGACGTAAAAATAGTATTTGTTGATCTGGTTGACTGTGAAATGTGAGAACTGTTTCTGTATATAATGCCTTTGTTCTCAGCAGGTCATTTTTTAATTTTCCTAAGTCCCTTCTGAAATAACAGCTAATATAAAACAGATTCCCTTTCTCTCTTGCTTAAGAAATTGCTGGGGGAAAAAAAAAAGTGGGGGAGCTGTGGCTGATGATTTTCTTTAAAAGAAGTTGACAACAGGAAATATATTTTCCCTTTTTGCAAAACAATACACTTAAAAAGTTAGGCTTTTGTTCTTTCCTCATGCCCAAGTCCCTCAAAATCTGGCAGTACAAGAACCACCAGGTGTCAAAGGTGTGTGCTTCCGTTTGTACTCCTAAAGTGAAACACTCCCCTTTTGTTTCAATAATTTATTTGCTTTCTTCCTCAATGAAAATGCCTTTTCCTTATAAGAAATAGTTTATATTCAGGGGTAGTTGCCAGGAAGGTTTTGGCTGAATCAAACATATATACAACAATCTCATTTAAATACAGCCCACTTATATTTGGTTTTGAAAATCTTCCACTGCTTCTGCATTAAGAAGTTTGACCCTCAATAATTTCTGATTTCTTGTGAAAGGTAACAGCTGGAGATATTCTAATTCCAATTCTATTTGCTTTTGTAAAGTAATGTGAAAGCACATTATACCATCTTGAATTTAACTTCATGTTTTTTAAATACCTTCAGGCCAGATAGACTACCTAGCTTAGGTCTAAAAATGAATATTTCCTGTATTTTTTCAAATTTTTTGCTCATCAGGCACAATAACTGTTTTTGGTGGTTTTTTTCTTCTTCTGTGTGGTCATGAGATAAAAAATTGGAACATTTCTCTTTCTTAGTTTCTTTTTGAGTTTATAGCAGCTTAATCTGCCTGTAATGTCATAGTGTGGCTGAACTTGCCACATTAAATGTAATATAATATTTACTATGTAAAGGATCATACCTTCCAGCACCACTGAGTAAAATAAAAACTGCTGCTGTTGATTTTGTATGACAAAGCGTTATAGGTTTAATGCCAATTTAAGATTTTGTGTCACTAATAAGAATCATTTAGCTTGCAAGGAAGATTTTTAGGGAAGAACTTACTGACAATGGTATCTGGAAGCTGGACATCCCTTCTGCATCGAGTTCACTCCAGAAGTGTTTACAAATGACCTTACTGTAATTACTTCTCTGTAATGAATAAAGCTAGATAATAACATCTGCACTATATTGCAATATTGCCTTTGGAGGAAATCTACCTTAATTTCCCAGAAGAGCTTATGTGGTTTCATTAATCACATTTTTCTTTTTAATATTTATTACCAAAGGGACCCCCCAGATCTCTTGACCTGGTACCTGGTAGTGTAACTTTAGAACTGCCTGAGAGGAAGTTGTAGTTAGGTGGGGGTTGGTCTCTTCTGCCATATCTCAAATGAAAGGATGAGAGGAAATGGGCTTAAATTATGGCAGGGAACATTCAGATCACATATTATAAAAAATAAAAAATCACTGAGAGAGTGGTTAGAGGTATTGGAATAAGTTGCCCAGGGCGGTGGTGGAATCCCTGTCTCTGGAAATGTTCAAGAGGCACCTGGATGTGGCACCTGGGGACACGGTTTAGGGTTGATGATGGTGGGATGGGTGACCTTGCAGGTGTCTCACAGCCTTGATGATCCTGTGGTTTATTCACACCAAGGTAATTTACAAATGCCAGAAGGGAGTGGTTTCCATGTTCCTTGCTTTTCAGTGTTTTTTTTGGTGCCCATACTGGTGAGTGTCTTTATGGACTCAAGACTCCTGGCCCTTCAGCCTTCTTCTCCCTGCAGTCCAGGTCTCTCTCAGTGCTGGAGATGTTTTTCCCTCTCTGGGAAAGCTGTATTTTGCCAGGCTTAGTAAGAGAGAGCCAGCACCCCAAGTTTATTGGACATTCTCTATTCAGCACATTTTGCCAATCTTGCCAATACAGAACAAAGCAGAGGATAATCACTCAGACAATTGCAAGTTAAGGAGTGTTGCCTTACCAGAAGGGGAAGGTGGCTCCTCAATCCTAGGTGGAGCTGGGAAAAAACCCCACAATAATCAAGGTTAATTGTTTGAACCTGGAACTTTTTCTATTTTTCTGATAATTGATCTAAGGGTTAATGTTATTTTTTTTCTACATTTGTCAAACAAACTGAAAGTTTAAGTATGATCACAGAATAATGTCAAAGACACCTTACTGTTCCCAAAATTTAGATGATTGAAACATTTTGATTCTGCATTTTCACACCATCATTTTTTCAATTTGAAAACTGCAAAACATTTAGCTTTGAAATTTTTTGAACAAATGTTATTTCACTTTACATTTTGAAAACATTTTTCTCTTGAGAATTATGTGCATTAAAAGAAAGATATGAAAGGGTTATATTATTTGAAAACAAATTTTTTTCTGTTTTAAGCAGAAGTAAATCTATGTGGTTGATCGTAATGAAAGTTTCCAGCTGATTTATTCAAGCAAGACACCTTAAAAATGTATGATTTGTTTTAATGTGTATCCCTTATTTTTTTAATTTCCTTTTTCAGTTGGCCAGCTGGTCAAACTCAATGCCTCATCCTTCTGGTTGCTATGCTTGTAGGTGGCTCAAACATGTTTGACATTATTCAAACATGTGTTATGGTGTCACTCATTTTCCTAAGGAGGAAAAATAAAAATTCTTGTTGCATCTGTCCAGCCATGCCACCAGACCCACATCTTCCAGCTGCAAGGGAAAAGGAAAGCAGCACCTGGCTGTCGTTCCTCTGAAAGGGTCTGTCACCTGGAATTTGGATCCAATTGCCAGGATTAAACTTCTGCTTCACAGACCCACGTGCAAACAGTGAAATTAACTCTGCTGCTCCTCAGGGGAAAAGTGGATCAAGGACAGTACAAACCCACAAATAACCAGATGCTTAAATTTGGGGACATTATTCCTTAATATGTCCTCAAAGGTAGGATGAAGAGGCAGGTGCCTTGCCTTTAGGAGTCCTGAAGTGCTGAAGCTTAACAAAGAGGATTTATCTTTTCTTTCTCACATATTTTTCCAACAAAAGCAAGGAACAGAATGAAACTGAGTGAAAAATTGCTTTAAAAATTTAAGTAATCCCTCTCAATGGCTGCATATGGCTTTTCAACAAGAAATGGTACCCTCAACTCACTCCTCTGTACTAACAAAAATTCTTACCTGATACATTGAGTTTAATTGTAGATTTCTTTGTTTGGTGGTTCTCAGTCTGTCTGTAGATACAGGAATATTCAGCATCATCCCATAACTGGACATTGGAGATCTTTAAGGAAAAGTTGCCATGCTTCATCTGGTCCAGAAAAAGACTGGTTCTATTGTGGAACTTTTCATCCTGGCCCTCCAGTGAATCCTGCCCGTTCTGAAAGAAGTGCACCAGCTGCGTGGTGCCAATCTGCCAGTAGAGCATGGACTTGGACAGGGCCAGCTCTCCAGGAGGGGTGGTGGTGCAAGGCAGAACCACAGTTTCTCCAACAAATGCATGGCACGTGGCATCCAGCTGACCTGGAATAAAACCCAGACACTTCCATCGGCATGCAGCAGAGATAAGGGCACCAGGTTTCCTATAATTTGTCTTCACCACATCATTATTGCCACTCTCCCTCCCAAATTCTCCTGTTTCCAGCCAGGAGGGCCATGTGTGCTCAGAGCCCAGCCAGCTGTGCAGCAGGACAGATGTTGATATGTGCAAGTTGCCTTCACTTTGGAAGTGTGGCTTTTGCTTGAGCTTGTTTCCCCTTAGCTGGTGATTTTGCTTCCAGTTTTTGGGAATCTCAGTGTTTGGGAATAGATGTCTGATTTGACTTTAATTAACAGGTCAGTTCACAAGAGGAAAAGGGGATGCAGGGAAATGGGGGTGGGCAGATATGATGAAACAAGTTCTGGCTCTGTAGGAAGTCTGGCTGAAAAAAAGGAGAAGTGTGAAAACAATGCTAGACCAGGAGAAAAACACTGGATGAGTTTGGTCTCCCACAACTTCCATTATTTGGCTACCAGATCACAATTCCCAGCTTTTAAGCAATGTGCTGGGGGCTGCCATCCCCCTTCTCCTGCAAAATCTTGCAGAGGGTCTGACAGAAAAGAGCTTTTTTCTGCAGGTCTGGCTTGGTGCACTCTTGCTGATCCCTGTCTGGTGGTGTCATACACTTTGGTGTTAATTTCCAGCAGCCAGAAAGAAGAGTCTGTCATTCCCACTTTAGAGAAATGGTTTTTCCAAGACCTTGGGGAGACTTGGTTGGTGTCCCTGACATCAGGCAGAGGTGTCACCAAACTTCCCAACCAGCTCTAGCACATGCAAAAGCCAGGATGAAGGAATCCTGCAGGTGGGCAAACAGGGGCACAGACAGGGCAGGCAGCCAGCTGCACCCCAACTACACACACTGTTCATTTAATAACTTTGGTGCCAATTATTTCTAGAAATCCTTCCAAGTTAGCTGAAAACATACTAAAACTTGCAAAAATGGGTGAGTCTGCCACTATCGGGTAGAACAATTCCCATCAGATTGTAGTGCCACATTTTCTAGGGAGACTGGGTAATAAAGAAGGTTTTTATGTATTTATAAAGCATGAACAACTAGGTATTTCCAGCACGGAATGTGGGCTTAAATTAGCACTCTGACCAAACCTGTTGCATGAAATAATATTATAAATTAAATGCAGATTACTGAATTGGGATGAAAAAGTTATTCCCAGCACAGAGCAGAACAAAAGCATTGTGAGTCTGTGATTGCACCAAAAAGAAAAGCTAAATTCATTGTGAAACAACTCAATCTGCTTCCACGGCCAAAGTTTTGTGAAGCCTAAGGGGCAAGTAATTGGACTCAATATTGAAATAAATATTTTTGGTTGCAGTGGGGTCACTCCTGTGTTCCTGGCTTGCATCAGCTCTCCACATATGTCAGGCTAAAGACCAAAGAGAGTCCCAGTTTCCCCTTGAAGTCAGTGACATCAGCCATGGCTCAGCTTGTCACATGCTCAGGCCTTTGTTTCCATATCAATCAGCCTTCTCTGGTGTCACACTGTGTTCATCCAGACATGAAAGCAGAAGGAAAAGCACGATCCAGACAGCTGAATCTCAGAGCCAAGTAAACATCTTTGGTTATAACTCTGTCACCACACATCTGCTTTTCTTTGTTTTCAGAGTTTTCAGCTGAAAATCCCAGCCCAGTTTGCCCATCAATGTCAACTTTTAGCTGAAAAAACCACATATCCCAAGACATTTCTCTGGTTAGTGGTGGAAGGAGAAGCCCCTTGTTGTGTGGTGAGCTGAGCCACTCGGTCATTATGCTTTGGCCATGACAAAAATTTCTTCACAGGATGAGTAGACCTGGGAACAGGCTGCCCAGGGAGGTGGTGGAATCACCACCCCTGGAGGTGTTTAAGGAAAGACTGGACGTGGCACTCAGTGCCATGATCTGGCTGACAAGGTGATGTTTGGTCATAGGTTGGACTTGGTCTCAGAGGTCTTTTCCATCCTAATTGATTCTGTTTCTGTAATTTCAGAATGTATCAGTCGCTGACCAGGCTCTGCTTCTCAAAGGGCACTTGAATTATACCAAAGCTCAGCCTCCCCTGTACTGTGCCCTTCCTGCCCCAGCACCTCACCCTGCACTCCCAGGCCCTGCAATTAGTGACACACCCAGGCAGGGCCATCAGCTGTCCCCAGCACACCTCCAGGGGCCACTGCTGGATGAAGGAGGGGAGGGAGCAGCCTGAGCCCCTTCCCTGAGCTCTTTGGGGAAATGCTGGACCCCTGGATGCTGAGAATTTAAAACTTTCTGTGCTGAAAGGCACAGACCCTCAATAGAACACTACGTTTGACCTGAGGCCGTGAAGAAAGCTGCCAAAACTGAATGACAGAGCTGGGATTGTGGGTGTGTAGTTTGAATAGAAGTGTGTAATAACACTTGGTGGAAAACTTAAGGGTTTATATATTATAGTAATATATAAAAAGCAAGATGGAGGTTTTAGGGCCGTGGCTGGTCCTTCTTCACCTTCTTCTGCAGGGGTTTGGGTGGTTTTGTGTAATTGGATAAAAAGTCCATATTGTGGGCACGGGTAGTTGGTTATTGGGTTAAAAGTAAAAATAATTTAGGTGTCATTTCTTAATTGGACAATTTTTCCTTGAAAGACCTTGTAGAGAGAGAGGTACAGGGCCATTTTATAGCTTGTTAGCAGAATGCTGTAGAACTCACGACTTGTAAGATTGTAATATAGATAAGAAATAATAAACATGTGAGCCAGAACACGAAATACCATCTCTAGTGCTTTCATCCCGGTCCTGACAGGGAAAGGCTGTGCTCAGCAGTGTCCCCAGGGCAAGGCCACGTGTGAAAGCAGATTGTGGTTCTGGCTGACCCTGACCACGGTCAGGAAACCACAGTGGGAGAGGAGTGTGCCTCGGGCTGCTGCAGGGGGTTGGCAGGCAGGGGAAGAAAGGAGCCTCCAGAGGAGGAGGGAGAGAGACTTTCTTGGTGGGAAAAGTTCTGTCTGCAGGGTGCTGTGAGGAGAGAGAGTGCTTGCAATGCTTGGCGTTGCACTTGGGTGAAGAAAAGTTGATAAACAGAGCTTGTAGTTCCATGCAGAAAAATGGGCAATAAGGATTTTCCTAATGAGCAAAGGAGGGAGGAAGCGTTGGGTCCTACCTGCTGGCTGTGGACACCTGTACATTTGATACTGGTGTTGGAAGTGCACCTATTTCCTCTTGATTCTTTTTCTGAAGGTGGAGGACACCAGTATTTAGCATATCTGAGCTGAGCCATTCCCATTCCCTCTCCTCCAGGACGTGGTGTACAAACCTTGTACCACTCATGAGGACTCTATGAACACCCACAGGATTCATCCCACCCTGCCCTTGCTGCTTCCAGCTGGTAAAATCAGGGCAGAAGGGGGAAAAAAAGAGGAAAAAAGGAGCTGAAGCTGGCTGGGATAAGAGCAGGTGACTGAAATCTGCTGTAAGGAGTTATTTAATCAGCCCACAGCTGCAAAAGGTCTTTTGTAGATGGGGAGAACAAACTTCCAGGGGCAAGTCAAGCATGAGTCCTTACAGAAGCCAGTCTTGAGAAGAAGAGTAAAGTCCTGTGAAAGGTTGTGGTGCTGGTAAAGCTTCCCTCTGAGGCTGTTGCTGCAGCAGGGGATGTGGAAACAGGCTAAAAACTAAAGTAGTAGTGGTGGCAGTTGCTGCTGAGGTATGTAAATCAGGATTAATAGTGCTCACCTTACCTACCAAGTGAGCTTTGCACATGGAAGGGGCAGTTCTCCATCCTGGAGATGAATGTTGCCACACAGTTTTCACTTGCAGTTGTGAGGCTTGAATGGAAAGTGGGATGAGCTTATTTTGTGGATCCTTTTTTAAAAAAGTATATGTTTTAAATATTGCTGAAATGCTTAAGCCTATTAAGATGAGGTTGAATGTGACAATTTACCCAGTCTGTAAGATTCCTGCTTCAGCAATTGAAGTGTGGTGCAGGGAAGCTCATGACAATTGGGCTTTTTTGTTCCCCCCTTGTTTTCCAAGTGATGTGTAGCATCCTTAACCACCACAGTGTCTGGCAAATGTGAGGTACTTCTGGGCAAACAGAGGTCCTGACCACACACAGAGATCTTACTACTGCTGTCCTTAAACATCAATAAGGAAACTGCATCTTGTATAAAGTTCTCCCAACAACTTGTACTAGTTTATCCTTTTCATAGGGAAGATGGTATCTAATTCATGTAATGTCAGAAAGTCAACTCTGCTAGAACTAAGCAGATGCAAGACGGTTTGGGGCTGTAAAGGATGAGATTCCAAGTCATCTTTAATATTATGTTAAATGATGGGGTGCTTTAAGGATGTGGCAGGATAAACTTTATAGGTAAAGGTTTATGGGTCTGAAACACCTTAAATTTGAAAACCACTTCTTTTGGATACAGAAGTTTATCTGAGGGTTACGACCTGTACTCACGAACCTTGGATTGTGATGAAATATATGCAAAGCAATGCATTAATTTGTTATGTTTTGCTCCAAGATTCTGCTTGCATCTTCTGTGTTTGCACATAAATGCTTCTGCAAATTCCTAGGTGTGCACTGTGGAATATTTACCTCTGGGCAGAGAAGCAAGCAGTGAGCAGGCAACCATCCAGAGAGCAGTCTCCCTAATGAGAAGGAGAGAGAAGAGAGAAAGGTCAAATGCTTTGTTAGGTTGCTAGAGCAGAGATCAAAGACCTTTTCCCTGGTGTAATTTATGCCACCTTTCCCAGCTCCCTCATCTGTGAAGGTAATTTGGATATGAAGCTGGATGGGTTAGAAACCCTGCCTTGTTTTTCCATCTAGTCTTGATGTAGATTTTATCTGCTGCTTGTAGAACTGAGGTTTCTCAGTGCTCATGGTGGGACAAGGCTTCATTTGCCAACACCAGACCTGTACTTCCCTCTTGCCTTCACATATAGGCGATGTTAATTGCATCTATATAGCCATAGTTTGATCTTGGGATTATTTTCTGTTGGTAATTAAATGAAATTCCTTCTGCTCCTTCTACTCCCAAACTTCAGCTCCCTCACAGCCCAAGGAAAAGCACAGCTTACCATTTCATTTTTGTGCCTCCCAGCCCTTGGGAATCTGTCCCTGTCAGGGGCTTCACCAGACACTTCAGCTGCTACTCGTGTCTCTGCAAAAGAGAGAAAGGCTCTTAATTTTTGCTAGAAGTGTTCCTTATAAGAGAGAATAGGTTATTTACTGATACTTCATTTGCTGTTTCTTTCACTTTGTGTATGTAAAACACAAGGTGTTATATAGTTTCTGGGTATATACAGTTTACAGTCAGTGTTTGTTTGTGTGTTTCCTTTTGCATGCACTCTTGCAATACAAAGAATGTGTTTTCCTGTGTAGGACGGATGTGAGTCACAAGCCCTGCACTGACTAGCCCTCAGTCTCTTAGCCTGGTGAAGGGATTTTTGTTCTACAGCCAGCTGAGAGCAAAGAAAGCTGAGAAACCTGATGGGTGTTGTATTTATCAGGATGTGTATGCACCATCCTACAAACTGCTAAATACCACCAAAGCTGGACATCTTCCAACAAATAACGAGCCTGTAAGGAAAATGAAGAGAAAAGAGTTTCTTTGAGGAGGCTTTTAAATCAGGTACTTTCTCAGGAGAAAAATCCAAAATGGAGCAGGAGTGGAGATGGGAATGAATGTGGCTTTTGGGATTCCTTTTGCCATCCTCATAGGGTCTTTTAGATTAAGGAGTACAAATATCTGAGTGATTGTTCCTCTCTGTGTGCTCCAGAGATGATTCTGATGGTGGAAGCAGTGCTTTAGCCAAGGTTCTCTTCCCACGGAGGAAGCTCTGTGTGGGCAAGGTGCTGCTGCTGTTCTCCTGGCTCTTGCTCCTGGCACAGTGTGGCTTCCTGGGGTGAGCAAGACCTGGATTTGTGTTCTTCACTTTCCCCTCATGGCCAAGCCCTGCTTATGATTTGTTCAGCAGCCCCTTCCTGATACTCATTGCAAACGATCTGCCATCATTGCCTTCTTTGACATTAACAGTGTGTCCTGCCTGTCTCTGCTGGACTCCTGTGGTTGCCTCCCTCTCATTAACCCACTGAGGAGGTTAATGTTTTGGACAAGGGTATACATTTATGGAAGTTTATTCTATATTTGTTTCCTTCCTGCCTCCCTGTTGTCAATGAAACTGATGGTCACTCCTATCACAGAATCATTTAGGTTGGAAAAGACCTCTGAGATAGTCTGCCCTTTGCCAGCCAGACCAGAGTGCCATGTCCAGCTGTTTCTGGAACACCTGCAGGGCTGCTGACTCCACCACCTCCCTGTGCAGCTCACTCCAATGCTTAACTACCCTTTCTGTGAAAAATTCTTCCTGATGTCCAGCCTGAACCTCCTCAGGTGCAGTTTGGGGCTGTGTCTTCTTGTCATGGTTGCCTGTGACAAGAGTTTATCTGCCCTCTCAGCTTTGTGCAGATGTTCCATTCCACATAAGGCTGCCAGAATACCAGGAGCAAACTTGTTCTGCTGGACCAGGGTTCCCCAGAGCCTCTCCTGTCAGGCAGCAGTGAGGTCTCTGCCCATGCTGAAGGTGTCTGCCTAGTGGGCTCTGTGGTACTGTGGCTGTGTCCACTCTCTCTGTAGGTACAGGTGCTCCTTATGATAATCCCCTTATTCAGAAACACCTGAATATTTTGGCATGTGTGGCCAGCTAACAGGCCTTTTTAAAGGTGCAATGGCAGCAGACAGGAATGACCCACAAGGCAGAGCTCCTGGAAGCTGTATCATTCTTCTGGAGGGTCAGTCATTTTCTGACAGTTTTGATTGTGACTCCAGGAAAGCCAGGGTGGTTGTTCCAGCACAGCTGGTTTCTTTGTGTCCCTGCCTTTGGCTGGCTTCCTCCCACGGAGTCCCTGTGGAGTTTCTGGTTCTCAGAAATGCCTCTTTGGAAGTTTTGGATTGGGGAGTGACGGAGATCAGAGTTAAGATACCGAATTGTGTCTGAATTGTGCATGTTCAGCTCTCTCGCCATCCACGTGCTGGTGTTACTTCCCTACTGGAGTTACACTTGTGCATAAAGAGAGCAACGCAGGTCTTTTTTAAGGAAGCAGAATCAAACCACAGGAATGATTCAGATGGTCTAGCTGGAGCAGTCAACCCTTAATTTAGCTTAATTCAGTACTGTTTAGTTGAAATAACATTTCTTTCTGGTTTGAGCTGACTTAACTTGATGCTCCTAGTACCCCAAAGGAGAGATTTGTTCCTGTCTGTTCAGCTGAGCTGGTGTAAGATGTTTCATACACAGTGTGGATAACCACTTAAAACAGTTTCTATTTGATATTTCATTTTTCTTAGTCTCCGTTTCTGGTTTAAATTAAATGGAAACTTGAAAAATAACAGATTTTTCTTTCTAATTTTTTTTCAAATTTAAAATTTGACCCATTTATTAATCATTTAACTCAGCTGTAGGAATTATTTAGGACTTTCTTTTTCCAGAAGTTAAAATAATTAACTGAGTAAGTCTTTGTAATGAATAATCACTTCATGAAGAATTCAAATGCTAATTAGTAACTCTTTAACACGCTGACCTACCTGAAATAACTAAGGCATTGGGTGCAATTAAAATTTATGATTAAATTGTAAAATGTATGATAAAATTGTAAAATGTATGATTAACTTGTAAAGCATATGATTAAATTGTAAAATTATGATCTTCTTGACAATCTTTGTCACCCAACTTTTGCGTCATATGTGCAAGGCCATGTATTGAGCATGCTAGCTCAGCCTGCATTGAAATTGAATTAATCAAATAGTGAAGTAACCCAATGTTCCCAGTAGAATAGCAGGACTTTATGTCCCAAAGCAAATGGATTCCAATTGTCCCTTTCCAGTGCAGGAGGGATGGGGTGAAATAAGGGTCTAAATGCTGCTGTCAAAGTTATAATGCTCTTGGGAGCACTAAAACTCTCCCTGTGTGGTGACCACAGAGTGTGACACTGATATCAAAGTGCTTGTGAACTAAGTGGGCAGGACAAAATCAAGGAACTGATTTGCTTTTTCAGCTCTTCTGCTTCACCTGGCACCATCAGCACTGAATGAATGATTGTACAAGGTGGAGCAGACACCAGCTGCAGAAGGCAGCAGCAGTTCTGAAAGGATTAGCCAAAATCACCTAGCATATGAATGAAGGCTGCTGCCACGGTGGAAACTTCTCATTGAGCGCCTGGCAAGGCTTGGTAGCTTAGTCTTTTTTTCAAGTATGTTTTCTATTCCCCTCCCTTCCTTGCATGCCTTTGGCTTTTGAGAACAGATTTATGCAAAGTGATGCTGTTGCTGGTGCTTGTAGGAGGGTGGGGGAGGCACCTTTCTCCATGACTTTGTGAAATCCTGAGTGTACCCTGAGCTGAAAAATGCCACCTTGCTATTCCTTACCCACATCAAGGCAATTTTCTGTCATTTCTTTAAATGCTCTCCTCTCATGTAACCACAGTAACAGTCCTATTACCTTTAGGTAAAAGCCATTAGTTAATAGAAAGCTAATGAGTGAGTTTGCAAGTGGAAATTACAGTCTGGTTTCTTAGAGAAAGTTTTATGATGCAACAGCCTGTACTGAAACTGTGTGATTACTTCTGGTCTTATCTGAAAGCAACCTATAAACAACATGAGGCATCATTTACAGCCCTGTCCTATAATTAGCTCAAGGAGAGAGATTTAAGACATCTTGGTGAAGGATACATGCTGATGCATAGTCAAAAATGACAGTGGCTTCCTCTTCAAGGATTCTAGGTTTTGAAATTGCCCTAATTTGAAAGCAATCTTCTGGAAGTTTGTGAGTGGTGCCAGTGAGTGTTTCTGTAGCCACTCTTGTGGCTCAAGGCAGTGGGAAGGAGTGTCCTCTGCTTCCTTGGGGGACTGCCTGGGGCTTCAGGCTGCAAAATGTGCTGTGGTGACAGCTGAGTCTTGGATTGGCATCCTTATCTTCAGGTGCCCTGCTGTGGGTGGCTGGCCTGGTTTTCATGTTGGTTTGTTTTAGCAAACTTTATACAGTTGTACTTCTCTGAATTTCCCTTATCTGCTGTGCACTGGGGCTCTGTGCTACAGTCACACCAGCCCAGCTGTGGAGGTGGTGGGTGGGGTGCTGCCTTTGGGCTTTCCTGTGTTTCCCCATGCTGCTGGAATTTCCCATTGCCTGTTTAAGGCTTGTTGTGGGCCACAGACAGGCTCTGGGGACTGAAAGATTATCCAAAGCATTTCTGATCTGAAAAGATTTTCCTTCTTGGGAGTAATAAATTAATGAGTGATGGTGCATGGTTTGCTCCTGGTGGAAAGCTGTAGAATCAAAGAATCATTAAAGTTGGAAAAGTCCTTTAAGATCATCAAGTCCAGCTGTCAACCCAGCAGCACTGCTGTGTTCACCACTAAACCATGCCCTCAAGTGCCACCTCTACATATTTCTGACCACTTCCACAGATAGTGACTCCAAAATTTCCCTGGGCAGCCTGTTCCAGTGATTTACAACTCCTAGATTTTTTTCCTGCTATCTAAACTAAACCTCCCCTAGTGCAGCTTGAGGCCAGTTCTGGTCCTGTCCCTTCTTGTCTGGGAGAAGAGGCTGACCCCCACCTGGCTACAGCCTCCTTCAAATAATTGTAGACAGAAATAAGGCTTTCCCTGAGCCTTCTGTTCTTCAGGCTGAACATCCTCAGCTGCTCCTCACCAGTCTTGTGCTCCAGACCTTTCCCCAGCCCTGTTGTCCCTTGTTTGCTCCACAGGTCCTGCAGCAGGAACTTAGAGCTTCCCTGGCTTTTAAATAAACAGCTTTGGTAAAGAGGAATTTGTGTATGGAAATAAAATGTGTAGGGAAAGCAGGAGTTTCAGTTTATAATGGATCAGTTTCCAGAATTCAAACATAAATAAACATCTTCCCAAGGGTTTGGAGGAAAATAGCAAAACTCTCGAGGTGTCTGGCCAAAACCAGACTGTGTGTGACCTTGCACACTTAGAAGACTGGAAGCCTTGGGAAACTAGACTGTTCTTGCTTTCAGAACAGCCATTCTAAATAGCTCTCAGACTAAACTGAAGTAGTCTGTGGCTTTGTAGAATGGGAAGGGTTTGGTGGCTCAGGGGACTGAAGCTAAAATCGGCACGTTTCATTTCAAGTTTCAGGG